TGAGAGATATAATCTGTTATAGCAAGAAATCTGTATCCATTTGGACGCGATCGACGAGTCGGTCTGTGTCAGCATTACCGCTACGGGACCTATATAGGCACCCGTAGACGCGGGGATGTTCCTCGCTGTCTACGCGCAGCCAAAGGATGGACAGGTCCATACCTTCAAGACTGCCGAGGAGTCGAGAACAGATATCCTCTCTGACGTATACGCATATGGTCTCCGGTTCTCTATATTCACTATACGTAACACAACAGCATTAATCTGCTATTTTACGCTGGTATTCTAAGAGAGCGTGGTCCTTCCTGGTCGAGCTAACCCATTCGTCCTACAATCATAATATAACTACAGCGTCGCTTTACATCGTGTAAAGCAAGACATAAATAAACATAATTAATTTGTTCATTCGGAACACACCTTTACTAATTCAAGAAATATGTTTAAAAACGTAGACGTGTTCACGCAATGTATAAGAAAAGGTTGTTATTGACTCAAAATCTGTCGTACACTAACGAGACAGGTTTGTCTTCCTTAGAAGTAGAATTTTCATTGTTGTAAAGTCTAACGAGCTCTTGTCGACATCTGAGGGAGATAAATCCACAAAAGTAGCGAAGCGAAAACGCACTGATGAAATTACTACTTATACATTGAAAACAAGTACTTTATTTTTCGCAGCTTCACGAAAAGAGAATCGCAAGTCGATTGTATGTTTTTTTTGTATATACAAGTATGTTTCGTAATATTTAGTCAAGTAGTTAGTTATTTGTACATAACATAGATGCATATACACTCACGCCTGTTACCCAGAGGGGTAGGCCGTGACTACGGTACTACATTTGGCACGATCCTGAAATCTCTCACCTCCTTTACATCCATATACCTAAGCATACATACTTGTCGTAAAGGTACTCTTAATCTGGTACATCTTCATTAAATCGCCAATTTGGTCTGTAAACTTTCGTATAGGGCTCCTATCCCGAGTAATTTGTCAATCGATTTCAATGTTCCTTTTCTTATTAATACATTATACTACTAGCCAAGACTGCTTCGTTGGTCTAGTGGTCATAAACGCGGTCGCTGATCATTCGTTCTGGGTTCGAGTCATGCCAAAATTAGTTATTGGGTTTTTCGACAAGAATTTCTCAAAAGCAGCCCAAAGTCAGGAAGTTGACGGTATTTCACCACCGTGTCTCAAAAAGAACGTAAAACCGTAGGTCCTGCACCAGATCTTTCTCAAGTGATGTCCGATTGCCGTCCCCGGACTATGAGAGTGAGGGAATAGAGAGTGCACCTGTGCTTTCGCATACACTCGAGCTCTTTAATCCTGTTCTGCGCAGATGGCCAGTCTCCGTTGAGCCTGGCCACCATTAGAAAACTAGGTCTGGAAGACATTATTATTATTACTTCTAGGCTGGTCTCATTTAAATAATGGGAAACAATTCTTGACGATGGAAAAATTGGGAACGGTTTTTTACATGTACCTATTTAGACGATATCCAAATATGCAGAGCAGGGCGGTACTTCGTTAGGTATTCAAATTGTTTATTGAATATTCAACCTGGTAAGACATAAGTTAAACCTCGAAAGATATGTAGGAATTCGAAGGATGCAGGTGGCTTAGGACCGTGCTTTGTGGCATTCCTTAGGGGTGGTCTATATTTAGCAGTGGACTTGTGGAGGGTTGAAATTATGATGATTATTATACCGTCAAGTTTATACATAATATATTAGGTCTTTATCTATGAAATTGCCGTGTTTACTAATTTATATATTATGTAATTTTTTTATTTTTTTTATTTCTGTTAATCAAAGTATTTACCCATGCAATCTATGCATCTTTGCTAACGCAATGGCAGTTTATTGATGCCCTTCTTGAAGAAATCAGCTGGACCAGAGGCAACAAATTCTTTAAAGCCATTTTATACTGCCTCTCGGGTATTGAATTTTTTTCCGCCAAAAAGGTTATGCAAATTCTGGAAAAAGTAGAAGTCTATAAGCTCTCCGTCATCCGCCGTACTCACCAGGAGTACGGCGGATGACGGAGAGCTTCCGACCCCAGCTCTTGTATATTGGAGACAGTCTTTTGTGCAGTACGAGGTCGCGTGTTGTCGTGCAGGAACAGCGGGAATGAGAAATTGACCAAAGCTGTTTTTTTTTATAGGACAGGGGGCAAACGGGCATGCGGTTTACCTGATGGTAAGTGACTACCGCCGCCCATGAACAACCGCAACACCAGGGGAATTGCAGATGCGTTGCCGGCCTTTTAAAAAGGAGTAGGCTCTTTTCTTGAAGGTCCCTAAGTCGTATCGGTCCGGAAAAATCCCTGGTGGTAAACTATTCCACAAGGAAGTTGTGCGAGGAAGAAAACATCTTCTAAATCGCACAGTGGTGGACCGCCAATCATCCAGATGGTGTGGATGGTATCGGGAGTTCTGCCGCGGTGTGCGTTCGTGAAATTTGGCGGCTGGGGTTAATCCGAACAATTCCTCAGAGCACTCCCCGTGGTAAATGCGAAAGAAAATGCAAAGAGATACAACATCTCTTCGCAGTGCCAATGAGTCGAGCCGATCGGAAAGGACGACGATTCGTGCCGCTCTGCGCTGGATGCGGTCAAGTGGAAGAAGCTGGCACTGGGGAGCCCCAGCCCAGAGATGAGAACAGTATTCCATGTGAGGCCGAACCTGCGCCTTGTAAAATTGCAGGCGTTGAGCTGGCATGAAATACTGTCCCGCTCTGCTGAGCACACCAAGCTTTTTAGAGGCCAATTTGGCGTTCCCTTGCAAGTGACTACGAAATTGCACGTCACTCGATATGTCGACACCGAGGATTCCGATACTGGCTGAGGCAACAATGGGAGTACCTTGAAACTGAGGAGTACCTTGAACTTGAGGTTAAAAAGCGCAGAAAATTCAACATTAAATGTTATTTTGCCTTTTTTTTTAAAAACTATACAATCTTGGATTTTATCATATAAAGTGGAGGCAAAGAACATACATAAACGTTACAAGGACATACATCCAGCCCGAAGCAATTATTTGTAGGTCATACGTTATATATTTTTACGTGGTAGAGCCATGCTGCAGCTATATTAGTATTATAACTGTAGCACGAATGAGTCGGCTCGACCGGGGAAGGACCACGCTCTCATAGAATACCTATATAGTGATAGTGATAATAGTGAGTGTAGAGAACCGGAGACCCTTTTTACTGGAAACGAGGTATTCCATCTTAGTCCTCACGGGTGACAGCGCATCTGCATTTTGATTCGTAATCGCATATAGATGTAGATGTCTATGGGCCACAGCAACCACTTATCATCAGGTGGACTGTGTGCTCGTTTGTCATCCTTATGCTATAAAAAAAAACAAATACTTGTTCCGTGCGGGATTTGAACCCGCAGCTCACAGCGCCGCAACATCTTGCTAAGCTATAGCGCCACGGAGCCCTCAAATCACAGTCAAAGTTCTAAGCCACCTGGAAAGGGCTTGTAACAAAAAAGATTAAAATTTATTTTAATGACCGTTTGTTTTCACTGTACATATATAATTAAAAAGATCCGTACGTAACAATTAAATTAGATCACGCGAAGGAATATTTAAACCGAGCCACTGCTAACACTTTGTTTTTTATTTTTTAATTTTTAAATAACAGCTGTACTGTAACATGTAAATAATAAATGTGTTGTTACTGTTTATGTACATAAGGCTGTGGTTTAGCTTAGAGATAATTAAAGAATTGTTTTTTTTATAAAAAATAGTGAAAAACTTTCACACAGTTAATCAAAAAGGATCCAACTACCATCAGTACCATCTATCTCAAATAATAATTAAAATGCGGATGTGTTATTACCCAAGAAGAATAAGATGGTGTGCGTTATTTCCAGTAGAAGGGTCTACAGTTCTCTCCACTCACTAAACGATACGAAATACAGCAACACTAAGCCGCTATTTTACTGTCGTATTCTGTGAGGGAAGAAGTGTAAGATTTTTCCGTCACGACCCCTTCTGATGTAGTGTAGACAGACTTGGCGGCTATAAGGAAGCGAGATGGAATAATATCCATCTCCCTCGCACTTTATGTTGTCTTGCCATAAAAGAAATATTATTTTATTTTAAATGACGCTTCATTTTAATAGACACTACCAATGATTTCTCGTATTTACGTGAACACTACACATTGAATAAAACTACTTTTATGAATTCTATCGCATTTAATTAACTTTTTTTTTATTGATTCCCGACGTTTCGTTACTTTACAGCACCCATATTCACGGCGGACCACTACTAATTACTAATTGTTTTATTTGTATTTTTTAATCAATAATATAATACGTTTATCAATAATAATATACTACGAAAGGAACTTCGTTCCAACCGAGTGTTCCACGACACTCACGCATGTTTTTTTTTAAAGAACAAACGTGACAAACGAGCTCACAGTCCAACTAATGGTAAGTGGATACTGTGGCCCATAGACATCTACATCTGTCCTCGACAAAGAATAAAAATGCAGACGCGTTTTCACCCCACAGGTTCTCCGGTTGTCTACACTCACCAAACGAAACACAGCAGCATTGAACTGCTATTTTACACTGGTATCCTGTGAGACCGTGGTCCTACCCCGGCCGTGCCGACCTATTCGTGCTACAACCATAATATAGCTGCAGCGTGGCTTTACCACGTTTTATAAGGAGGATATTTGCTATAGTTGCTACACTTGGCAGGCGGGTAGGCAACCTAGGTTAGTAGGTAGGTTTTTCTAGTTATTATGAGGAAGAGACTGCTGCCCATTTCTGTTTGCATTTCTTATACGAAAAATGTTTAAAATCAAAAGATCAAAATACAAATATTAAATGAAAAAAATTTGCTCAATTGTGAACAAATCTTATTTTGTATAAAGATATTAATAATTACGAATATACTATAACTGGTCATTACAAGTATATAAGAACTGAAATTATCTAAAAGTACTAACAAAGAAGAACATCCACGAGTGGAAAAATGTCTTTTTTAAAGAAGTACTTTACATCCAAAAATGATGTTCCATCATTTCCGGTATTATCTTATTTTTATTATAAAAATACTGACAGTGTTTTAACACTACTAATATTCACACTAATACTCGAAATAAGCTGAAATACTTGTGCTACGATTGGTTTGCGACAGTAGTGGAATGGCGGATTCAAACCTACGGCTTTTGAGTTTCGCAGTTAGGCTACTGCCGTTTTAAATCAATACGAATGAATTTAAAATTTATCTTTTTGCACAAACGAGTTGGCCCGACAGGGGAAGCACCACGCTCTCACTGATATTCCTGTGAAATAGCAACATAATGCTGCTGTGTTTCGTATGACAAGAGATGCTGAGATTGTCTGACTAGGTAGGTCCAACTCCAACCGAAAGCCAATCGACGGACCATCGTCACTTATATCTCAAAAATTGAAAAAAAATGTGTACACCTAGTGCGTATTACCAGTACTAACATATGTAACTGGGACTGGAAAGAGTCCTTCACCACATGAAGTATGTGGAAGCTCAAGGTTATTCAGCGAGTTTGGATGGAGTTCTGCTCAAAGTTTCCAAGGTTTCTCAGCGTGATAGTATTTGAAATGTGGATATCTTCAGTGGAACCTTAGTAATTGTCAACGCTTAAAGGACCAGTAAGCTTTATTGGTAATGGGCCCGCCATGTTTCTAAAGGAAACGACAATGACAAGACAGTTTCTCGAGTGGCAGCCTCGTACCCGTAAGCAAAGTGTACGGTGGATTCACACTAGGTGGAGTGACGACCCGATAAAACATGCAGGAAGTCAATGGATGTAGGTGGCTCAGGACCGTGTTTTGTAGTTTTTAGGGGAGACCTATGTTCAAATGTGGACTTGTGGGATAGGTTTATAATTATTATATAGAATAATTCTGTTTTTTGATTTTTATATGACATATAAAAATGTAATCACCGGTTTTCTTATTTTTACGTTGTGAAGTTTGACATTTGACAGTAAAACCACCTCGAATTAACATACTTTAAAATACCCAAAACGACGCCAGGAAGCAAGATCCGTAATGTGATAGAGCCGCGCTGCGGCTATTTTGTGGTTGCAGCACGAATGTGTCGGCTCGACCGGAGAAGGACCACGCTCTCATAGAATGCCAGCGTCATAATGTTTCGTATGGTGAGTGTATACAACCCTTTTTACTGGTCGCTACTACATTTTGATTATTAATTGCGCATAAGAGCATTGGCTTCAGCATACACTTATCAGGTAGCATGTGTGTACTTATAGCATATATAAAGGCATCAAAAATTGCCTGCCGAATGTGTCAATTCCAAAAAATTCTTTCCAGTATTGTTGGAATCTTTGTCTACCTGTAGTTTCTGCACGACCTGCTGATGAGGTGAAAGAAGAGACTAAGTAGTAATAATAATATTACGTTTTATTTTTTATTATTTGTAGATGTCCCTATCATCTGATAAAAGTGAATATGATGTTACTTACAAAATTCCCAAAATGGCTTTTCAGTTAATTGGTATACGGTTTACTTGCGATGACTCACCATTTAAGAAGTAAGTTTCACATTTCTTGTATAATATAATATGCTATTATTATATGATACAGCACAAATGCAATGTGTTTTGAATGCAACATTAATGCATCAGCTCGACTGGACACTGGCTCACGCTCTCACAGAATAACATCGTAATATAGCAGCTTAACGCTGCTGTGTTTCACACGATGAGTGTTGATTCTAGAGACTACATATTGGAAACGAGGCATCAGCTTTTGTTCTTAATTGAAGTTAAATATCAGTGTCAATAGGTTAAAGCACCCATCTACTATCAGAGAGATTGTACAGAAGATTTGATAGTCTCTTAATCTATAAAATATAGTAATCAGAACCCGGTGATATTTTCGTCGTTCTGGTGGTGTAAAATAACATAGTTCGATTTCGTTCTGTTGAAATCGTAAGAAACGGATTTAGGAAATGCCAGAAAGATTTGATAGCTTTAAAAAACACAGGCTGGCACTGGGGAGTAAGCTTAGAAAAGAACATAATGTCTGGTGCTCCAATCCCAAAACACACCTCCCAAGCTTGCCGGTTAAGGCAAATCTTCCCTACAATTGGAGATACTCATATCCAAAAGGGAACTATTACTTGTTACTGTTGGTGAAGGAAACAAGGTATTTTACTAAAAAAGTATGTTATTGTTTTCTGCCGACTTCCGAAAAGGAGACGGTAGTCAATTCGACTGTGTTTTTTTATGTGTGTTACCTCATAACTTTTTACTGGGTGAACCGATTTCGATGATTATTTTTTATTTGAAAGCTGATACATCTTGTATGATCCCATATTAATTTGATCAAGGTCAGACCAATAGTTTTTGAGTTATTCTTAATAACTCATATATAAGTCGGCAGTACAACATTTAAAATTTAAAATTATTGTTTTCACCATAGTGGTAAATAATAATACAGACCATCCCAAAAACATTTAGTAGTAAACACCACTTGAGTGATCTAAAAACTAGACTGTTGACATAGTCTCCTAGTCTTTCAACGGGACCACTGTAAGTCGAGACTTAGCATCCATCGCGTTCGGCCATACCTCGTTTTGCTAAATATTACTTTAGTTTATAATGTAATAAACGGATTCCATTCCTCAGGTCCTGTTTCATAAAGCATTTCCTGATCTTAAAGTACGTATTCCCGTGCTCCCATTTTGAACAATCTAAATTCGATAACCGTAGACAAACAAAAAAAAAGTCAATTTCAATTTCAAGTACCGAGTTAAGGAGAACATCGTAAAGAAACATGCACGTCTAAGGAATAAAATGTTACAAAAACGTAACGTGGAGTCTGCAAACTAATAACTCCACTAACTTTCTGAAATCCGTGTGAAAAAATATCCACTAGCCTACATCATTTCGTATGTGTCGTAAGAGACGACAGAGGGACAACTGGAAAATAAAAAGCTGTGGTTGCCAACCCCTTACGAAGTGCGGCAACTATAAAGCAATCTATAGGGGAGTCATGTGTTCAGCAGTGGATTTTAATAGGCCAGAAAGGCCTGCAATAAGACGTATATGGGCTGCGATTTTACTCGTTCGTTATTGCATTCTCCGTAACCTTGTACAAATGAAAGAACTGTGCCCAGCTGTGGGGTCTATATAGGCTACAATTTTAACTTTTTAAGTTTAAGATTAACTCATTCATTCAATACAGCTTATTTAAAGTCCTCAGGAGAACACAGGCCTCCCTATATATTGCCTCATCATTGTCATAACTTAGTAGAGGGTTTTTTTATTACAATTTTGAGTTGTTAACAGGAAGATACTGCCGCGTCTTCCTAATGTGTTTTCTAATGACGACTTAAAATCTGTGTCTGCTAACCCGCTTGCCAACCATGGCAGCTATGGTAAATATGATAGGCAATATATAGGGCAGGCCTATGTTCATCAGAGGAATTTAACAGACTGTAGCGGTAACGGTAACGGCAGCCGCCAACATAAAATCATTCAAATTGGTGGTTAATAATGAATTTTTTATTTTACAGATCCTTATGGAATGCCTTCTACTGGTTTGAGTTCGCCAATATATTCATAGTGCTAATACTTGAAATCATCGCCATGATGCTGACTGTGTCCGATGGCTCATTCACAGTGTTGTTCACAGTGACGCCCTGCATTGGATATGTATTACTTGGTTGGTTGATTTATTTTTAAACTTAACCCCACCTTGATTAGTCTGGTAATTTTGATATTAATTTTATTTATTGTAAATATTAGCACTCTCATCTAGGTATTTATATAGCATTCTCATCTAGTCATTTATAAAATGATAACTATTCATAAATATACATTAAATATTGTAAAATAAATAAATAAATGATACATCTATACAAATAAACAAAATTGAAGTATCTGTTTGTAATGTCAAAATTACAGCGTTTTACTAAATGCACATGAAAGTACAAACGGTACTTATAACAAAAATACACTTTTTTAAATTTTTGTCTGCCTGTCTGTTTGTTCCGGCTAATCTCCGAAACGACTGGACCGATTTTAACGGGGCTTTCACTGGCAGATAGCTGATGTCATAAGGAGTAACTTAGGCTACTTTTATTTTAAGAAAAATAATTAGGGTTTCTCGCAAAAAAATTAAAACCCTAAATTACACGTGGCGAAGTCGCGAGGAATAGCTAGTCAATAGATATAAGTCCAACTCGATGGATTATCTCATTCCCAGTGGTTATTATCAATCATTTACTCTTTACTGGTTTGACCCTCATTAAAAAAAATTGTCAAATAAAAATATATGGATATTGCTAGAACGACTTTGTCTAATAAAAAGATATGGTGGTATAACCACCTCGTGTTTTTTTATAGAATTAGTGTGACAAGCAAGCACACGCTCCACCTGATGGTAAGTAGATGCTGTGGCCCATAGATATCAATTGCAGATGGGTTTTAACTCGTGAGGACTAAGATGGAATGCCTCGTAATCATAAAACGTGTAATTTTACGTAATCATAAAAAGTGTTATTTTACGTAATTATAAAAAGGGTTTTTTTACGCTGGTATTCTATGAGAGCGTGGTCCTTCGAGCCGACCCATTCGTGCTACAACTGCAATATAGCAGCTATCTGCAGCATGGCTCTACCACATAAAAGCTAAACGTATACGCTTGACATAAAATACTTAGACCAGCGACGGGATTTACGCACCAACCTCGGCACACCCCGATCGGGAGGTGGAGGAAATGTATGAGGATATCTCTAGAGCCATGCATTCCTCCAAAACCAATATACGGTGTTAATGGGAGACTTCAATGCAAAACTAGGCACAAGAGAGAACGGTGAGCTGAAAGTGGGGAAATTTGGAATAGGGCAACGGAACCCAAGGGGCCAGCAGCTGGCCGACTTCATGGAGAAAGAGGGACTCTTTATAATGAACTCTTTCTTCCAGAAGCGGCCCCACAGGAAGTGGACCTGGTCGAGCCCCGACGGTTCGACAAAAAATGAGATTGACTTCATTATGACGACCAGACGACAACTATTCAGTGATGTCTCAGTGATCGCGAGGGTGAAAACCGGCAGCGATCACCGAATGGTTAGAGGCACACTGAAACTAAACGTTAAGTTGGAGAGGTCTCGTCTAATGAAGTCAACGCTCCGTCCCCCTCGTTCTCTAATCCAAAGTCCCGAAACCTTTCAGCTCGAGTAACAAAACCGTTTTCAGTGCCTAGAAGACTGCAATGAAGTGGGCGATTTGAATGACAAGCTCGTGGAAACTGTCCATGCGGTCGGAGCTAACTTCTGCAAGACCCGCCGCAGAAGGACACAAAAACTGTCCGATCACACTCTTAATCTCATGGCTGTTAGACGGGAGATGAAGCTACATTCTTCAACAGATTTGACAGAATACAGGCAACTGAACAGATAGATCTCCAAATGCATGCGGCGGGACTTACGCAACTTCAATACAGCTCGTATTAAAGAAGCAATCGAGCGGAACCAAGGCTCCAAAGTCTTTGCCAGAGATCTGTCTGCCAGAAAGTGCCAACTGTCAAAGCTGAAGACCGAATTTGGCAGCATCGTTTCCGGGGCACCTAAGATTTTGAGTGAGACTGAGAGGTTCTATGGGCAGCTGTACACGTCATCGTTGGAGCCGCACGCAAGTGTGAGTAACGATCCAAGAGCGAGTCTTATCCATTATTCCGATGATATCCCGGACGTCAGTCTGAGCGAGATTAGAATGGCTCTCCAGTACCTTAAAAACGGCAAGGCCCCAGGCGAGGATGGAATTACAGCGGAGCTTCTGAAAGCGGGTGGAAAACCGGTACTTGAAGTCCTTCAGAAGCTCTTTAATTCCGTCGTCCATGGTGGCATTACACCGGAGGCGTGGAGCAGAAGTGCGGTGGTCTTGTTCTTCAAGAAAGGCGACAACGCTCTCTTGAAGAACTACAGACCGATTTCCCTTCTGAGCCGCGTCTACGTGCTGTTTTCGAGAGTCATTACGAATCGTCTCGCGCGCCTTCCGACTTGAAGCGCCTCCGACGACGAAGACTTGACGACTTCCAGCCTCCCGAACAAGCCGGTTTCCGAAAAGGCTTTAGCACCATAGACCACATACATACCCTTCGGCAAATTGTACAGAAGTCCGAGGAGTACAATTTGCCACTATGTCTGGCGTATGTGGACTATGAGAAAGCCTTTGATTCCGTCGAAATTTGGGCGGTGCTGCAGTTCCTTCAGCGATGCCAAGTTGACTTTTGATATATCGAAGTGTTGAAGTGCTTGTACACTAGGACCACGATGGCTATCCGAGTACAGAACCAGAGTACGAAACCTATCCAATTCCAGAGAGGTTTAAGACAGGGTGACGTCATATCCCCGAAACTCTTATCCGCTGCATTGGAAGATGTTTTCAAGCTTCTGGACTGGAAAGGATACGGTATCAACATCAATGGCGAGTACATCACTCACCTTCGATTTGCCGACGATATAGTCCTTATGGCAGAATCGCTGGAGGACCTAAGCACTATGCTCAATAACCTCAATAGTGTTTCCCAACGGATAGGTCTTAAGATGAACATGGACAAAACAAAGATCATGTTTAATGTCCATGTCACACCTATGCCGGTAGTTGTTGGGAACACTAAACTCGAAGTTGTTGACGAGTATGTTTACCTGGGACAAATAATCCGACTAGGTAAGTCCAACTACGACCGAGAGGTCAATCGACGGATTCAACTCGGTTGGGCAGCGTTCGGGAAATTACGGCACATCTTCTCGTCAGGTATACCTCAAAACTTGAAAACGAGACTGTACACCCAGTGCGTGTTGCCAGTGATGACATACGGAACTGAGACGTGGTCCTTCACTGCTGGCCGGATGAGGAAGCTCATGGTCGCTCAGCGAGCTATGGAGAGGGCTAAGCTCGGAGTTTCTCTGCGTGATAAACTCAGAAATGAGGATATCCGCGGTAGAACCAGAGTGACCGACATAGCCCAACGTATTAGTAAGCTGAAGTGGCAATGGGCCGGCCATATAGCTCGAAGAACCGACAACCGATGGGGAAGAAAGGTTCTCGAGTGGCAGCCTCGTACCGGCAGACGAAGTGTAGGGCGTCCCCCCACTAGATGGAGTGACGACCTGGTAAGATATGCAGGAAGTCGATGGATGCAGGTGGCTCAGGACCGTGCTTTGTGGCATTCTTTGGGGGAGGCCTATGTTCAGCAGTGGACATGTGAAGGGCTGTAATGATGATGATGATGAGCGACTGGGAGCAAGAAGGGGGTTAAAGGTACTCTACGTCTGATACTATACCATACGATACGATATCTTTGTTCTTACTCTTTTTAAGCATGACGATATTGGCAAAATACCTTTATAACGGGAAAAGCCCACGATAACATCGCAATCTTCAAGAACATACATAATTCATAAACACTCACGCCTGTCACCCAGAGGGGTAGGCAGAGCCTACGGACTTCGCACTTGAGCACGATCCTAACACACCTCTCTCACCTCCTTTACATCCATATATCTACCCATACGCGCTCGTCGGTTAAGGATACTCCTAATCCGGCCCATTTTTAATGTATCGCCGATTTGGTCGATAAACCTTCATCTAGGGCGTCTCTTCCCGACCCTGCCGTTCACTTCTGCAACATAAATTTGCTTTGTCACTCTTTCCTCGTTCATTCTTTCTACATGACCAAACCACCGAAGCATTCCTTCTAACCAACTTTCAAACAAAGAAGGGGACAGACGCGCTGCCATCTCAGAGATGATCAGAGATCAGCTTGTTACTATACTGGCTCTATACCTTTCAGAACGGAAACAGTAGTGCAATCACTGCTATTTGACAGTAGAATTGGATAATGGGATGCCTACTCAGACAGACTACCAGGCACAAAAGGAATCTATCCCCAAGCTAACTAAACATAGGTTGCTGGCTTAATTATCATGATGAATATCATGATCAGCCATCTCCACCTTTTTTTATTAAATTTTATCATTATGATATTAAAACACAAACAGGAGGAAGTAGTAGTAGAGGAGGAAATAAGGAAATATAAGGTTGCTGTCCTTTTCGTAGCCCTGATACTAAGATCACAGTTTTGACCTCATATATCACTACCACTATCGAAAGAGCTTATTACAAGTCCACTGCTGAACTTAGGCCACTCCCATAGATTGCGACAAAGTATGGTCTTGGGCCACCTGTATCCATCCACTATCTGTGTGTTACTCCAACTAGTGGACGATCGCCTGGCACTTTTAGAATATTTGATTTTCAAAGAATCAAAAGTTAGGATTTTTTCTCTATTTCTCTGAATGAACAGATTTAACATCATTTGCTATTTTATTGTACTATGAATATAATTTCGTCGCAAACTGATGATATTATTTCGTACTAATCGACACTTGTCTATCAAGTAAGTCACAGAGTTATAAATTTTACTATTGTGGTAGTGCCTCCATTGTTTAATACAAGTTATATTTAGTATGTTTGTTAAACTTCTTACAGGAATGGTAAAATCTTATAAGTTTGTTTACTACCGACCAGTGTATGAAAATTTGATGTCCGAATTGCGTGCGATGTGGCCTCAAAGTGTTGATACTGAAGAAGAATATAACGTCATACGCACAGCACTGACTGAATTAAAAGTCATCGAAAGAGGTAACGGAAATCACATAATAGATATCACATAGAACGTGTTCAGGATTTACTTGATTTAATTCACCCTCCCATTGACACCTACCATCGGAAAACGGGTGGTGAATCTCTACCTCATTGTTTTTTTAAAAGGCACAAATATGTAGTCATCTTTCAGAGACTAATATTTGCGCCACTTACTCAATTCAGCTGCCTCTGATGCCGCCCTGCCTCTAAACGAGGTACCCCTGAGATGAGAGGCCGTCAGAGTATTTTTTTTATAGGAGAGGGGGCAACCGAGCATGCGGCTCACCTGATGGTAAGTGACTACCGCCGCCCATGAACAACTGCAACACTAGGGAGGGAATTGCAGATGCGTTGCCGGCCTTTTAAAAAAGAGTACGCTCTTTTCTTGAAGGTTCCTAAGTCGTATCGGTCCGGAAAAATCGCTAATGGTAATCGATTCCACAAGGAAGTCGTGCGAGGAAGAAAACATCTTCTAAATCGCACAGTGGTGGACCGCCAATCATCTAGATGGTGTGGATGGTATCGGGAGTTCTGCCGCGATGTGCGCTCGTGAAATTTGGCGGCTGAGATTAATCCGAACATTTCCTCAGAGCACTCCCCGTGGTAGATGCGAAAGAAAATGCAATGGGATGCAACATCTCTTCGCAGTGCCAATGAATCGAGCCGATCGGAAAGGGCTCGGTCGTCGACGATTCGAGCCGCTCTGCGCTGGATGCGGTCAAGTGGAAGGAGCTGGCACTGGGGAGCCCCTGCCCAGAGATAGGAACAGTATTCCATGTGAGGCCGAACCTGCGCCTTGTAAAGTTGCAGGCGGTGTGCCGGCATGAAATACTGTCCCGCTCTGCTGAGCACGCCAAGCTTTTTAGAGGCCAATTTGGCCTTCTCTTCCAAGTGACCACGAAACTGCACGTCACTCGATATGTCGACTCCGAGGATACAGATACTGGCTGAGGCAAGAAGGGGAGTGCCTTGAAACTGAGGAGATACGACAAAGGGGTTCTTTTTAGCGGTAAACGCGCAAACTTGTGTCTTCTGAGGATTAAACTGGACTAGATTTAGTCGCCCCCAATCCGAGCCTTTGTTCAGCAAAGACTCGACTTCAGACACAAGTTTGTTCCGGTTCCGGAACCGGAACATAATAGATATATCATAGAACGTGTTCAGGATTTACTTGATTTAATTCACCCTCCCATTGACATCCACCATCGGAAAACGGGTGATGACTCTCCACCTCATTGTTTTTTTTAAATAGAATAAGCGTGACAAACAAGCACACAGTCCACCTGATAGTAAGATTCGTCGAATCGAGTGGGTGAGGACTTGAGGACTGAGATATAATTTCCAATTTCCGAAGGACGTCCGTACGAAGAGAAATGTGTCCGGTTCTCTATACCACCAAACACAACACAGCAACATAAATTACAGCAGGTTAATGCTGCTGTGTTTCGTATGTTGAGTAATGTGGTAGAACCACCTAGTAAAATAAAATATTTTTAAATGTCAATTTTCGTTTAATAAAATACGTTATTGATATATGTGTCTGGAGTAAATATGCCAAGTAATAAATTTTATTTTTAAATTTACAGGTTACTACTACAGTCATGCGGTTCTAATGATTATCTTCAACGCACCATCAGCCATTAGCTGTATACGTCGTGCTTTCGGAGAAGAGATTCCTCGGAATCTGATATTTCCATATTGGTTGCCATTTGATCCACACCAGTGTTGGATTTTCGAATTTATCATCATGACTCAAATTTGGCATAGTATGATTTACTTTTTAATTGTGAATGTATCGTTGGTATTATAGTCTGTTTCGCCCCCGTGCCTCGGAAAGTACGTAAAGTACGGTACTGCGCCTGATTCTCTCTCCACTCGTATCGGATTACCGTCCTATCGGATTATGAGAGTAAGGGCGCGTTCCCACGCCACCCGCACGCCACGCGCGTCGGCACCCGCGTCTAATTTGCTTTGAAATTTCTTGCATATAATTTGAGTCTTATGACAAATCAATAAATCTGAAATTGTATAAAAAGCAAGGGCGCGTGACGGGCGCATTGCGGGCACGTGGCGTGGGCAAGGCGTGTGCGGTTGAACGTCGATAAATGCAATTTCAGATTTATTGATTTGTCATAAGACTCAAATTATATGCAACATATTTTAAAGCGAGTTAGACGCGGGTGCTGACGCGCGTGGCGTGAACACAGCGGGTGCTTGTCGTCGGAACGCGCCCTAAGGAAACAGAGCGTGTACCTGTGCTTGCGCATGCAATTGGGCACTATATCCTGTCTTGCACAGACGGTTAGTCTCCGTTGAAACTGACCGCCGTGACTAAAATTCGGTTTGGAGGATATTATTAGTTTGATTTAGTTGAAATATTTTAATTTTTTTTATTTATTCCAAAGATTTTAGATCAAGAATGTAACGTGGTAGTGGCGATATATAATAACCACTATCCACAACGTCCCTTAAGTGTCATAAGAGGCGACAGAGAGAAACTGAAACAGAATGGGCAGTAGCATCTTCCTGATAACAACTTAAAATAATAAACTGTGTTTGCCGGCAAAATTCAAAAGCGAAATTGTGGGTAGGTCTATGTTTAGCAGTGGACTTTTATAGGCTATGATGCATAAATGTACTATACGAAATTGTTTATTGACATAAGTCTAATACATAAAAATTAATGTTTGTTTGTTCGTATTTTATCCGCTGCGATACCGTTTATCAGATTGCGGTAAAACTTCGTCAACTAACTACTTGCACTTGCGCAAAGGTATAGGCATAGTAAAATTAACTTAGTGTAGGTGGCGCGCTAATCAACCCATTCATTTATATATCATTCCTAATTAAACAATATAACTCTTCCAAATTCAAAACGATATTTCCAGAATTATTTCTTATGCGGCAGCAACGCGTCAGGCATCAGCTAGTGTACTCGTAACTATAAATGTAATTGAATTTATTCATTCATTCATTCGTTTGATACAACCCTTGACAAGTGTACCTCCCGCAAGTAATACCACAAAACTGTGTAATTTCTCATGGCGGCTTTTCATTTCTTGTATATTTACCGCAGTTTATTTATTATTAAGTTGTAATGACTTATGGATCTGAGACGTGGTCCTTCACTGCTGGTTGTATGAGGAAATTCAAGGTCGCTCAGCGAGCTATGGAGGGGGCTATGCTTGGGGTCTCTGCGTGATAGATTTAAAAATGAGGACATCCGCAGTAGAACCAAAGTGACCGACATAGCCCAACGGATTAGTATACTCAAGTGACCTTCAAGTAAAGAGCTTACTCCTTTTTAAAAGGCTGTCAACGCAGCTGTTATTCCCTTGGTGTTGCAGTTGCTTATGGGCGGCGCTAGTCACTTACCATCAGGTGAGCCGTAAGCTCGTGTGTCTCCTCTCCTATAAAAAATGCGGCAATGGGCCAGCCACATAGCTCGAAGGACCGACAACCGATAGGGAAATAACGTTCTCGAGTGGCAGCCTCGTACCGGTAGGCGAAGCGTAGAGCGACCCCCACACACACATGGAGTGACGACCTGGTACACATGCAGGAAGTCGATGAGTGCAGGCGGCTCGGGACCATGCTTTGTGGCATTCTCCTATGTTCACCAGTGGACATGTGAAGGGCTGTAATGATGATGATAATCTCCATCATTCCATCTTCTGTTTCGATTCCCTTTGTCGCCTTTTAAGACACTCACCGTATGATATGACGTAGTGGATAAGCTTACACCACCACTACATAGCAATTGTAATTGCATGGCATTTTTTTATAAAACTAAAGTGACGACAAACTCACAGTCCAACGAAATGATTAGTGGCTTTTTAATATAATAATAAAAATATTTTTAATAGAATAAGGGTAAACGAGCACACAGTCCACCTGATGGTAAGTGAATGCTGTTACCCATAAGACGTATACATTTATCCTCGATTAAGGAACAAAATATGCGTTGTCACCCCTGTGGGCTAAAATAGAATGCCTTGTTTCCAGTCAAAACGGTCTCCGGTTTTCTAGACTCACCATACGAAATTCAGTAGCATTAAGCTGTTATTTTACGCTGGTTTTCTGTGAGAGCGTGGTTCCACCAAATCTAGTCGACCCATTCGTGACACAAACATAATATACTCGTAGCTACAGCGTTAATGGAAACTTGCGGCGAACTTCAAACAAAGAATGCTAAAGAGGCGTTGCTACGTCTGCGAAGTAAGATGGAACACCTTACAGCCTAAAATTATTCTAGCTTCTATATTTGTCATACATAGCGGAAAATAGCAGTTTAAGTATTGCTATTTGGGATAGAAATAGTTAGGCAATTGGTACCTACTCAGTTGGATTCCTAGTTATTAAAATAAATATTTTTATTTCAGCTTTTATCATTATATGCGTACTACTGGGAGCTGACTTGTTCTTTTTCATCTTTCTAAGTCATATAACTTCGCAGTTTCATCTACTTGCGATGAGAATAAATAAACTGTTTCACGTAAAGATCGACGACCAACTAATTCAAGAATATCCCCTCGGTAAGTTAATGTACGATTAGTCGACAAATTCGTCGACAAATTCGTCGAATATTTTACCATTTTCTGCCGACTTCCGAAAAGGAGACGGTATGCTTTTTTATGTGTCATAACTTTTTACTGGGTGAACCGATTTCGATGATTCTTTTTTTATTTGGAAGCTGGTATTTCTCGTGAAGTCCCATATGAATTTGATCAAGGTCAGACCAATAGTTTTTGAGTTATTCTTAAATAACTTATATTGAAGTCGGCAGTACAAAATTTTTAATTTTAAATTATTAGCAATCTATACTACGTCATTTGATTCTTTCGTGATTGCCAGTAACCAGATTTCTTCAGTTTCAGTTATATTAGATATATGACTGATTAACCTTGAGGTTTTCATAATACTGGAATGACAAACGAACATTCACTCCACCTGATGGTAAGTGGCTACTGCAGCTCATTGACAATTGCAACCAACAACAAACAAATACTACAGATGCGTTGTCAGCTCTGAGGTGCTAAGTCCAGCATTGGGGTGTCTTATAGCCTCTAATTATGCTGGCTATTATTTACACTTTGACTGGTTGGTAATAATACGTCAAAACGTACATTTATAAACAAAATTAGAATTAGAATTAAAAATCTAAACAGCAATCACTGTTCATGAGCTATAATGATCCTAGTGCGAATACTATGCCATATTTTTTTTATAGTATAGGGTGACAAACGAGAACACAGTCCACCTGATGGTAAGTGGTTGCTGTGACCCATAGACATCCACATCTATCGTCAATAAAGAATCATAATGCAGATGCGTTGTCACCCGTGAGGATGGAATGCCCCTTTTCCAGTAAAAATGGTCTCCGGTTCTCTACACTTACCATACGAAACACAGCAGTGTTAAGCTGCTATTTTACGCTGGTATTCTGTGAGATATTCATGAATTTATTGTATTGCCGCCGGATCTTCATACGCCTGTAAACTTTTAATTATATAGACGCTGGAAGTGAGTGAAAAATGAATTAAAAATTCCATTACATTTATTTATTTTCACATAAACATATACATACACACACACATATATACATAAATACATACATATATATATATATATATATATATATATATATAAATATATACAAACATACTAGCTAATAAATACTTGTTATAATTACCAAACCCAGACTTATGAGGGGGAGTAGTTTTGAAAGGCATGTGTGCGCCATACCCAACAATGAAATAATACGGCTAATAAAGAAAAACATAGGTTTATGTGGTAGAGCCACGCTGCAGCTATATTATGGTTGTGGCACAAATGGATCGGCTCGAGCGGGCCTTCGCGCCGGGCCGCTTTCACAGAATACCAGCGTAAAATAGTAGCTTAATGCTGCTGTGTTTCGTATGGTGAGTGTACAAAACCTAGGACCCTTTTTACTGAAAACAATGCATTCTATCTTAGTCCTCAGGAGTGACAACGCATATGTATTTGATTCTTAATCGACGACAAATGTAGATGTCTTATGGTCCATAGCATTCACTTACCATCAGGTGGACTGTGTGCTCGTTTGTCACTATTATTCTATAAAAAAATTATTAAGAAACATCATGCTTCATGTCCATTCTATCTTTACAGGTTATATATAGCAGTATAATTAAAATAGTGTATGCGATAAAAACGCAAACAATTAAGATGTTTTGCATTTGTCTAATAGTTTTAGATATTTTAGAGATAAGGATCAGGTTTTGAATTCGTGAAACCTAATAAATATTAAAGTTTTTCAAATTTTGTTCCAATTCTGTTTTTTTGGAAACCAAAATACACGTGACATACGAAAAGAACACCTTTTTTGGAGATAAAACTAAGAAACGTATACTGTTGGGTATGAATTTCTTTATTAAACATCAAGCAATATATTTATTTTTAAGGTAAATACAGCAATGATTTATGTAAAGAAGATATAGACTCCATTAGTAAAAATGAATGGGAAGCAATTTGTCAAAAGAAGCTTGTTGAAGTTATTTTGAGGCATCGTGACCTAATCAGGTATGGTAGTGTCTAATTTTAATCAATTATTGCCATATTTACAGGCTACAGGCTGTAGTCATCTTAGTTTAAGGGAATGGAGAGCCACGACAAAGCCAAGAGGGTACCAAATATAGTCCTAAGTTTTGTTGTTCTACCTCTCACTGATATTGCTGTGTAATATTAATTTCATATCCCATCATCAATCTCTGAGTAAAGTAAAAAGTAAAGTTGCAGCATTTATACGTCTCACTGCTAGGCAGGAGCCTCCTCTCATTTCTGAGAGGGTTTTAGGGCAAGGAAAGGTCCGCCGCGATGCCCCAATGCGTGTTGGCGAACTTCACATGTCTTCAAAATATATATATTTTTTTCTTATTTGTCAGACATGCAGGTTTCCTCACGATGTTTTTCTTCACCGACGAGCACCTGGTAAATCAGCATTTAAGATTGCAATTAACAATAACATTAGTGCCGGCGGGGATCGAACCCGGGTTGCTCGCGTACTGTGAAACTTACAGCGAGCGCTAACCATTTGAGCTACCCCGGCTCTTTGTGAGTGTGAGTTTATAATTTTGCATGAACTTTTTGCTGTCTGCCGGTCATTAGAGCTACCTGCCATAACTGGTCCTTAAGCAGGATAAAATTTAATAGCAAGTACTCTATGAATTATAGAGTAATTTTAATCATACACGCCAAACTTCCTGACCCGCTGCGTGCTCGTCACTGCTTTTCGTCTCTAACACTTGAACTTCTAGTATTTATTTATTTGAATAATGCGCAAGAGTTTATAGAAATGTATCATTGTAAAATGCATACAAATTTTTATAAGTTACTAAATTATGTTCGTTCATTACAGCCTATCAAAAGTGTAATGCTGAATATAGGTCTCCCACTCGGATTGCCTCATGGGGATTGACATAGTCACCATGCTTGATATGTGGGGTGAAACTCGCAGTTTTTTAATATTTCGAGTTGTAATAGGAAGATAGTGCTGCCTATCTCTCGTTTCTTGTTCCTCTGATATCTCTTGCGACACCCAAGAGATAATATGAGGCAGTGGATTTTTTTACGCTGTTACTACACGGTGAGTTTTACTAACGAAAACATTTACATTTTGTACGTGGTAGAACCAAGCTGCAGCCATATTTATAATATAGCTGTAGCACAAATGGGTCGACTCGACCGGGGAAAGAACACATTATCATAGAATACCAGCGTAAAATAACAGCTTAATGCTGCTGTGTTTCGTATGGTGAGTGTAGAGAACCGGAGACCCTTTTGACTGGAAAAGCGACATTCCATCTTAGTCCTCAAGGCATCTGTTGATTCGCAAACGTGGATAGATGTAGATGTCTTTGGGCCACAGCAACCACTTACCATCAGCTGGACTGTGTGCTCGTTTGTCACCCTATTTCTATAAAATAAAATATAAATTAATAATAACATATTTTTAAATTTAAGGTTGTCCAACGATGTCGAGAACCAGTTCACATTCCCACTCCTTATAAATTTTCTTGTTAGCTCCATTCTTATCTGTTTCTGTGTATTCTGCTGCGTGGTGAGTAGCTACTTTTTTCTATTAGTTTCTACAGTATTAGATAATATGTTATTTTAAGCACGGTAGAGTAGTGCTGCTAAATTAAAAAGACAACAGCATGAGTTGGTCATCTTAGTCGAGGAAGGCTATCACTTCCTCACTCATAATACAAATGTAAATAGCAGCATCATTTTGCTGTTTTTTATGCTGAGTAATGAGAATTGAAGATCCTTTACTGGTAATAAGGCATTGTATCTTAAAACTTAGACGTGACAGCTCATCTGTATTTGAATTTTTAATCGCCAATTGATGTAGGTGTCTATGGACCATAGCATCAACTTACCATCAGGTGGACTGTGTGCTGGTTTGCTTCATTTAATTTATACGTTAAAGGGTTGCTGACACACATGGCCTTGAGCTGGAAATTGCTATAGTATTGCTTTGGAATTAGGCGCAAAATAGACGCAAACTACACGAGAAGTACCAGCTTTCAATTAAAAAAAGAATCATCCAAATCGGTATACACATAAAAAAACATACAGTCGAATTGAGCACCGTCTCCTTTTTGGAAGCCGGCAGAAAAAGAGAAATCATTTACCAGCATCTATACATTACAAGCTGCTGGTTACCATGCTGCTTCTATTAAAATTCATTTAAAAATTATCAAATTGTTTATATTTTTATTTATCCAAGGAAAAAACAACACAAACAAATCAAATTAAAACATAAATACTTCTAATTAACATAATAAATAAATTCAAGGAAAAAAAATACTATACAAAATTATACGGTATGTAAAGTTTAATTTAAGTAAAAAATACTAGCTAAATCGCCGCCGTCTGTTGGTAGTGTGCCCAAAAATATTAATTTATTTTAAAAATTGTACAAACAAAATCAATTGTAAAGTTTAATATATTAAAAAAAAGTCCCGTATTTTCCGAACCAGTGGTAAAAGAATGAATTTAAATAAGTATTTTTTTATTTTTATTTAATAGGATAAGGATGAAAACGAGCACACAGTCCACCTGATGGCAAGTGGAGACCACAGCCCATAGACATCTACACCCATCCCCGATTAAAAATCGAAATGCAGATACGTTGTCATCCCAGAGCACTGAGATGGATTGCCCATTTTGCAGTAAAAAGTGTGTCCGGTCTTCTACATTCACCATACGAAACATAGCAGCATTAAGCTGCTATGATATTTTTATTTAATTTTATAAATTTATTTTGGTTTTAAGTCATTTGTCATTATAATTGGTATTTATCATCAATAAATGATATAAGAGCAATGGTCTCAAAGCAAACCTGGTGATGTGCTAATTTACCATGTGCTCGTAAAAATCTGCATGTCTGGGAAATTAAATATAATATATTGTAAGATCCACCAACAAACATATGTTTTTTTTTATAGGAGAGGGGGCAAAAGAGCATGCGGCTCACCTGATGGTAAGTCACTACCGCTGCCCATGAACAAACGCAACACCAAGGAAATTGCAGATGCGTTGCCGGCCTTTTAAAAAGGAGTATGCTCTTTTCTTGAAGGTCCTTAAGTCGTATCGGTCCGGAAAAATTGCTGGTGGTAATCGATTCCACAAGGAAGTTGTGCGAGGAAGAAAACATCTTCTAAATCGCACAGTGGTGGACCGCCAATCATGCAGGTGGTATGGATGGTATCGCAATGCAGCTTAATGCTGCTAGCATTAAGCTGCTATTTTACGCTGGTATCTGTAAGAGCCATCTGCGGTCCTTCCCCGGTGGATACAATCCAAAAAAAAAATAGTATTATGTAATAATCTATATTGAATAAAAATCATTCTATTCTATTCTATTCGAGTACAATGTCTTCAAAGCAGGAGTGAATTGGCTTTTCTTAAGCTGAGTTAGTGTGCTTTACCACCATTAGCTGCATCACCACTTACCATCAGCTTGGATAATAATATGTATTACAAGGCAAGAAATTGTATTAAAGTACCAATATCTGTTAGATTTAAATGATAGTGCGTTTTAACGCTTCTTTTTTGTAAATTTGTTTATATTATTTTAGTAACCTAACCTTAATGTTTTCTTATATTTACGCGAAGACTACACATTAAATGGAACTAATTTTTACGGATTATATCGCGTTTAATTTTAACTTTTTCAATTGCCGACGTTTCGGGTGCTTTACAGCACTCATGGTCACGGCGGGGAACTGAGGTGTTTGGCGTCCCGATGTCATAGTTAGCCCGGCTACCTTCAGTTTTTTAATATTAATTTTTGGGTTTTGGTTGGTAGCCAGGCTAACTATGACATCGGGACGTCAAACACTTCAGTCCCCTTAAATTTCGTAATATTATTATACTTTATGATAGACGACCCCAAAAGAACGCTTTGATAAATGTAATTTTACTAAGTTCTTTACTCAAAGTTTCAGTTTTAAAATACTTGACTTTCATACACCCATCTAATTAGCTCCGAGCAAAACAATTTTGACTTCAATTATAAAACCACAAATTATACTTGTTTCGCTGTCATATCCTTATTTTGGCATCTCGTTAAATTTTCTAACGTAGTTAATTTTAGAACGTGGACTTTTGGGGAAGTTCTACCTTAATATTTTTTTTTTTATAAAATTGAAGTGACGAACGATCTTATAAGCCACCTGATTTTTAAACATCTCTGGCCTCAGTTGTCCATGAACTACATACTGTTGCGCGCCACTATTAATGTCTTATACATGGCAACACTAGTTACACTAGCGCCCCCTAGTGTCGAGTAAATTAAAGTATTGCGCGCCACTATTAATGTCTTGTACATGGCAACACTAGTTACACTAGCGCCCTCTAGTGTCGAGTAGCAGAACTAGGAGAGTCGAGATCCTTCCAGAAATTTCGGGACCGATATGTACTCGAACATTCTAGATGTCGCTACAGTAGAAGGTTCTGGAAACTATCTGAGGCCCTATATAAGGCCGGTATAGACCACGACCGGGGCAGTATTGAATTGGCGATACAAGAGAATACTTCGAAGCGAAATAACGGCGAACTGTGTTTTATTATTAGTGTGATTTTAGATTGTAATTAGTGTTGTGTAATTAAAGTGTCAATTTTGGTAATTCAATCGGCAGTTTTTAATTGTCTCGAACCCCAAGCTCGTAACAATTGGTGTCACAAGTGGGATCAAATATGCCGATTTTACCTAAAGACGACACGGAGAATATCCGTACCCGAAGTCAACGCCAACAGGAGACGTACCAGAGTCGATTTGGTAATGCAACGCCTCAAACTTCGGAGGGCCAGCTGTTAACCACGGAGGCCGGCCCGTCAGCAGCTCCTGCATCTGTAGCACCTGACTTAGGTGCTCTAATGATGATGCTGCAGGATCAGGCTCGCCGACAGGAGGAACAGACCCGTCGGTTGGAAGAGCAGCTGCAGCGCGGTATGGAAGAATAGATGCTCCTCAGGAAGGACCTTCACGCTACCTTCGGGAAAGAGATAAAGGAGGTGAAGGATAGGGTTGCTCAACATGACAACCGCCTGTCGGAAGCTGAAACCCGAATCGACCAAGTGAACAATCGGGTTGACACCATGATGGCTGATGTGAAGAAAACGCTGGACGACCTCAAACTTGGGGATGGAATTACAGCTCCCATAGTAGCTACAACACCTTCGCTACGTGGATTCAAAGTGCCGCCGTTCGACGGGAGTTCTTCCTGGTCGGCCTACAGAATCCAGTTCGAGGCTGTCATGAAAGCGAACGGCTGGAATAAAAGTCAGGCCATGACTGCTCTCACCCTAGGCCTACGCGATCAGGCATTAACTGTTCTGGAAGCTCTCGGTAAGGAAGTGACTTACGAGCAGCTCCTTGAGGCATTGGAGGCGAAATATGGCGATGCTCACCTGGAACACGTCTTTCGTGCGCAGCTCAAAGATCACGTGCAACGCAGTAACGAAAACCTGCAGCAGTGGGCCCTTGAGGTGGAGAAGCTGGTTCGAAAAGCGTACCAGTCTGTACCTGCGCTCATTGTAGGGAACCTGGTGCAGACATTCATCGACGGCATCCGCGACCTTGAAGTCAGAGCTGCTGTGAGGCTCGGGCACCACGAGACGCTTAAGGATGCCTTGGCCCATGCACTGGAGGTGGAAGCCGTGCGGCAGGATCATCGTTCCCACCGCGTCAGGGAGGTTGCAGCAGCTACAGTTCAGGACCGCAATAAGGCCTACAGCTCTAGGTGCTACGGCTGTGGGGAAAGGGGCCATCTTCGATCCAGTTGCCCTAAACGAACTGTAGAAAGGGAAGGTGATCGATATCGAGAGGGTAGTGTGGCTGACAGCACCGCCCAGCAGCAGCAGGGAAACTGGCGGGTGCTGGCTGATGTTAAAAGAGCCCCAAGGATTTCGATCTCATAAACCCGAGATGGAAACAGCCTGATCATCAAGGGCGAGGTCAACGGAAAGCCGTGTAAACTAACCATAGACACTGGAGCCTCTCGCACGGTTGTCAGTTCCCAACTTATAAATCAGTTTCTTGGGGACTCCGCATACAACCGCGAACGCACTAATTTGGTGACAGCCACTGGTCAGCGCATAGCCGTCCGAGGAGAGAAGGAGATGGACTTGAAGCTAGGCAACATGATCTACCTGCATAATGTCATCGTGGCTGATATAATGGACGACTGCATCCTGGGCCTAGACTTTATGAGGAAGAATTGTTGTGAGATCGACGTTAAGCAAGGTGTTTTGAAATGTGGACAAGAGGAACTTTTCGTGGAAGGGGCGTTACCAGGCAATGTGTACAGCCTTAAGAAGATTGTTCTTCCGCCGAGATCGGAAACGATTGTGCTGGTTAGACTTCCACGGAATCCTGGGCAAACTCTTCGTTGTGTACTCGTGAAAAGGGTAGACAATGACCTTCCATGGAAAGTAGCTCGAACCTTGGTCAGAACCGCCGACATCTCAGGAGTACGTGTGCTGAACCTTTGTGATCAGGAACAGATTATAGAAAACGGCACATTGGTTGGTACTAGTGAGGAAGTGGATTGGTTGCGTCGGTGCGAATATCTATCGACCGGGACCCCCAGCAAGGATGGACAAACGAGAGTGACCACACTTTTAGAAGACTGTCGCAGCGTTCTTTCCCCGAATGAAATGGTCATGGCGAAGAAGTTGTTACTCAAGTACGCCAATGTTTTCTCGTCAAACGAAGCTGACATAGGAAAGACTGGCTTAGTTCAACACAAAATAAACACAGGACAAGAATTGCCTATTCGTCAGCGGCCAAGAAGATTGCCTGTAGCACGTGAAAAGGATGTGGAAACCATGATTGAGGGAATGGTGAAGGATGGTGTTATTGAACCTTCATCTAGTCCATGGTGTTCACCTGTGGTGCTGGTAAAGAAGAAGGACGGCAGCATGCAGTTTTGTGTTGACTACCCCCACCTGAACGACATTACAAAGAAGGACAGCTATCCCTTGCCAAGAATTGATGACACGCTGGACATGCTTACAGGCGTAAAGTGGTTTAGTACGCTGGATCTGAAAAGTGGCTACTGGCAGGTTGAAATTGACCCTAAGGACAAGGAGAAAACTGCATTCTCCACAGGAAAGGGTCTGTGGCAATTTAAAGTCATGCCGATTGGATTGTGCAATGCTCCAATAACGTTCGAAAGGTTGATGGAGCTTGTACTTACCGGGCTAATTGGAGATGCCTGTCTGGTCTATTTGGATGACATCATCATCGTAGGCCGTACGTTTGAGGAACACCTTCAAAACCTGGAACGTGTGCTCACAAAGATCCAGAGTGCCAACCTCAAGTTGAGTCCGAAGAAGTGCTCACTATTCAAACGGCAAGTTAGTTTTTTTGGGGTATGTAGTGTCGGAAGAAGGTATCCGCACGGATCCAGAGAAAATTGCCGCTGTCAAGGAGTTGCCGGTTCCAAAAGACAAGACGCAGGTTAGAGCATTTTTGAGTTTGTGCTCTTATTATCGGCGATTTGTGAAGAACTTTGCAGATATAGCCAAACCTCTGCACAAGCTAACCGAGGAGAAGCGACATTTCTGCTGGGATGAAAGTTGCGATATTGCATTCCAGGAGCTCAAGAAACGTCTGTGCAAAACGCCTATTTTGGGGTACCCTGATGCGGGCAAGGAATTCATAGTTGACACAGACGCAAGTGATATAGGAATTGGCGGTGTGTTGTCTCAACGGAATGGTGATCAAGAGATTGTGATAGCGTACTTCAGCAAGTCGTTGTCCAAGCCGGAAAAGAACTATTGTGTCACAAGACGGGAATTGCTTGCTGTGGTAAAGTCCTTGCAGCATTTTAGCAAATATCTCCTGGGGCGGAAATTCTACTTACGAACTGACCATGCTGCACTGAAATGGCTATTGCAGTTCAAAAATCCGGAAGGACAAGTTGCGATATGGATTGAGCTACTACAGGAATACAACTTTGTGATCGAACATCGCAGCGGGAAATCTCATGGCAATGCAGATGCATTATCAAGAAGACCTTGCTCTGAAGATTGCAAGCATTGTACTAGGCAAGAGAGTAAAGAAGTGGTATCTGCGAGGATATTCAGGACAGACCAGCTCAGCAATGAATGGAAGGACAGCCTACAACATGCACAGCAGGAAGATTCGGACATTAAGCCGATTCTGGAATGGATGAAGGCCAGTGCTCCTAAGCCCAAGTGGAGCGACGTCTCAGCAATGAGTTCGACCACGAAAAGCTATTGGGCCCAATGGGACAGCTTGCAGATTCAGGATGGAGTCCTGTGCCGTAAATGGGAAAATAGTCGGGGAGACAGGTGTCATTTGCAAATGGTTGTCCCTAAGGCTAAAGTACGATGTTCTCCAGCTGTACCATAGTGGTTGTTCAGGAGGCCACCTGGGAGTTAAACGAACTCTACTGAAGATCCGAGAACGGTTTTACTGGGTCCACTGTCGTGACGATGTCGAGCACTGGTGCCGCAAATGTACAAGTTGTGCGGCTGTAAAGGGACCTCAAATTCGTAGTAGAGGCACATTGAAATTGTACAATGTTGGTGCACCATGGGAGAGGATAGCCATTGACGTTGCAGGGCCGTTTCCGGAAAGTGAAAGTGGTAACAAGTATTTCATGGTTGTGATGGATTACTTTACTAAGTGGCCAGAAGTCTTCGCCATTCCAAATCAAGAAGCTTCAACAGTTGCAGATAAACCAGATCATGAAGTCTTCTGTCGTTTTGGAGTACCTTTAGAGATTCACAGCGATCAAGGAAGGAATTTTGAGTCTCAAATATTCTAGGAAACTTGCCGAGTTATGGGTACTCAGAAAACACGAACAACTTCTTACCACCCACAATCTGATGGAATGGTAGAAAGATTTAATCAGACATTGGAGAGGTACCTAGCAAAAGTTGTGGAAAAACGGCAACGAGACTGGGACAGGCACATACAACCGTTTTTGTTGTCATATCGAAGCGCTGTTCACGAAAGTACATGAGTGACACCAGCTTTCGCAAACTTTGGGAGAGAATTGCGGCTGCCTGCAGACCTGATCACCGGAATACCACCTGATGCCCCACGCAGTATAACTGATTATGCAAATGACTTGCGGAACAAAATGAATGACATTTATGAGCACGTCAGACAGACGGGCCAGCAAACGTCTGAGAAGATGAAAACACGGTATGACCGCAAAATGAACAACAAGGGGTTTGATGAAGGTTCACTAGTGTGGTTACACAATCCAGCTCGCAGCAAAGGGAAATCTCCTAAGCTTCAAGCTAAATCGGACGGACCGTACCGGATTGTGACAAGGATCAATGATGTAACCTACCGGATACAGAAAGGTGCCAGAGGTACTCCTAAGATTGTCCATGTGGATTGACTGGCGCGTTATTATGGGGCCAATAATGCTCGGGACGAGCATGTCTTAGGAGCGGGCAGTTTTGCGCGCCACTATTAATGTCTTATACATGGCCACACTAGTTACACTAGCGCCCCCTAGTGTCGAGTAAATTAAAGTATTGCGCGCCACTATTAATGTCTTGTACATGGCAACACTAGTTACACTAGCGCCCTCTAGTGTCGAGTAGCAGAACTAGGAGAGTCGAGATCCTTCCAGAAATTTCGGGACCGATATGTACTCGAACATTCTAGATGTCGCTACAGTAGAAGGTTCTGGAAACTATCTGAGGCCCTATATAAGGCCGGTATAGACCACGACCGGGGCAGTATTGAATTGGCGATACAAGAGAATACTTCGAAGCGAAATAACGGCGAACTGTGTTTTATTATTAGTGTGATTTTAGATTGTAATTAGTGTTGTGTAATTAAAGTGTCAATTTTGGTAATTCAATCGGCAGTTTTTAATTGTCTGGAACCCCAAGCTCGTAACAATACAAAAATGCTGTAGGTGCGGGTTGTCTCCTGACGACTTAGACGCAATGCTCACACAGTCTGTTATTATCTATAATTAAGGGCCAGTAGCCTAATGGCAGGGCACGGATCACGAACTCGAAAAGTCGTGGGTTCGAATCCGCCATTCGACTACTATCGTGAACCACTTCTAACACAAGCATTTTAAGCTTACCAGAAGTGGTTTAAGGGAATATTAGTAATGTTTAATAGCATTACTAGTAAATGAAACTAACTTTTACGGATTTTATCGCGTTTAAATTAACTTTTTAATTTCCGACGTTTCGGTTGATTTACGGAAATTATAAATTTTCGGGAATTAAGAAGTTAAATTTAACGCGATAAAATCCGTAAAAATTAGTTTCATTAAATGTGTAGTCTTCGCGTAAATATAAAAAATCAAATCATTAGCATTACTAGTATTTATAAAATTACTGGATATCTATATTTTTAAGACCGGAACACAAAAATTCTAACACTTCTATTTGGCGCCAGAAATAGTCAAGAGAGTGGTACTTACTCCAACTTACTCCTAGGAGGGAAGGAGTCATACAACCTAGTAATTTTTGAAGTTATACTTCTTTTGGCGCGTTTGAAAAAAATGGTGAGAGAGAAATTTTTACGATCCGCGCGCACATCGACACTTAAAAACGACACCATGAAGTTGTTACGATGCGCGCGCACACCGAAACCTAAAAGCGACAACTTCAGTTGGTAATTGTCTGTCAACTGTCAAGTTTTCGTGAGAACTGATAACTATATTCAAGGTAGTTATTCAAATATATATATGACTCTATAAGGCTCGCCACACACATACGGAATCGCGTTTTGTCCGCAAAATGTTGAACGGAAAACGACCGTGCGTGTGTGGCGGGTCATACATTTTACATGGACTTGCTGCGTTCGGGATTCCGAATCGGAATATCGAAACTGAATCACGAAACGGAATTCCATATGTATGTGGCGAGCCTAAAACGTGTTTTATTTTAGGTATTTTTGTTTTGTTACGCTAAAGAAGTATTTTTTTTGGGTGACAAACGAGCACACAGTCCACCTGAAGGTAAGTGGTTGCTGTGGCCCATAGACATCTACACCTATCTTCGATTACGAATGAATATGCAGATTCGTTAGTACTTTTATTCTTATATGCGTATTTAACTTCTTATATGCGTACATAAGTACACGTTTTTTTTTTAAATTATCTTTTTCCGATTAATCGATGTATATTTTCATTTTACTGAAACATAGTTCGTGGAGAAATGGAACGAAATGAATTACAAGTGTTTTTTGATAACTGCAACGCTTCAGATCTCATTGCTGTGTTTGTACGGACAGCGACTACTTGATGCTGTAAGTCTGCTTTTTTACTTCCTAATAAAAATATATAATTTCTTAACACTAAACACATTTAATTGGGATATAAACCAGGAGAGGCAGCGTCTTCTATTTAATTAATTTAATTTCAACGGTGGTAGAGCCCTGCAGCAGTTTTTTGCTGTTGCACGTATGGGCCGGCTCGAGCCGGGTTGGTACCACGACCTCACAGAATACCGGCGTGAAGTAGAGGCTCTGCTTCTGCGTTTCGTCTGGTGAGTGCAGGTGGCCGGAGGCCCAATTCCCCCCCCCCCCCCCCCCCCCATCAACATGGTAGCGGAATTAGACAATAGACTACCCCAGGAGGGTACCAGTACCCCTGGAGAATCCCTCGCTGAGCATCCACGACCATGTTATTCCAATCCTGAGCGTGGGTGCTCAGGCTGCCCCGCGTATTCTGGGGGGGGCAAAATTCCGCTCAAAAACAAAACTGCTCGGGGCAAGCTGAGCAACAATACCAAGGCGACCCCTGCCACGCTATCCGTGAATTTCTGCAACATCAGGGGACTTCACTCTAACCTAAACGCCGTCCACTACCATCTCGAGACGGCGAAGCCGGCCTTGCTCTTTTTGACCGAGACGCAGGTTTCCTCTCCGACTGATATTTCGTATCTCTCCTACCCGGGGTACAAATTGGAGCATTCCTTTGTGCCTCGGGCTGGAGTTTGCGTGTATGTTAGAGAGGACATCTGTTCTCGACGCCTCGGCAGTCTTGAAGGTTCGGACCTGTCCATCCTTTGGCTACGCGTAGACAGCGACGACCATCCGCGCGTCTACGGGTGCCTCTATAGGTCCCATAGCGGTAATGCCGAAACAGACCGACTCATCGACCACGTCCAAATGGCTACAGATTCCTTGCTACAACAGGTCCCATCCGCAGAGATCGTGATCCTTGGCGATTTTAACGCCCACCATGCCGAATGGCTCGGTTCACGTTTAACCGATCATGCGGGGAGATCTGTTTATGACTTTGCCTTGGCATATGGTCTGACACAACTGGTTACTTCGCCTACGCGGATTCCAGATGTGGAGGATCATACACCTTCCCTGTTGGACCTTCTGCTGACCTCTCATCCGGACGGATATCAGGTTTCCGTCGATGCCCCTCTCGGCTCTTCGGACCATTGTCTGATCCGGAGTATGGTGCCACTCACGCTCCCTTCGCGGTTGCGTTCTGCAGGTTGCCGCCGTGTTTGGCATTACAGGTCGGCGGATTGGGACGGAATGCGGTCTTTCTTTGCATCCTACCCATGGGGGCGGGTTTGCTTCTCGCCGGATGATCCCAGTGCTGTTGCTGACTCTGTCACTGATGTGGTGCTACAGGGAATGGAACTATTTATTCCATCATCTGTGGTACCCATCGGAGGCAGATCTCAGCCTTGGTTTGGTCGCTCCTGTAAGACTGCATTGCGCAGTAAGCAGGAGTGTTATCAAGCCTGGGCTGCAGCTTCGGTGACTCGGGATGTAAACACCAGCACACTTAAAAAGAAGTATAACTTCGCCTCCAGGTCCTTCAAAAGAGTTATTGCCAAGGCAAAGTCAGAGCACATAGGCAGAATTGGCGAGAAACTAGTTCGCCTTCCTTCGGGAACCCGTGCATTCTGGTCTCTCGCCAAGGCTGTCCAAGGGAATTTCTGTAAGCCATCACTACCATCTCTGCACAGGGAGGACGACTCACTGGCCCAAGACGCAAAAGACAAAGCCGACCTTTTAGGCTCCCTTTTTGCGTCCAACTCGACTCTTGATGACGGGGGGAAAATACCGCCGACCATCCCGCGGTGTGAGTGCTCCATGCCGGATGTGCTATTCTCACAGCGCTCAGTTCGCAAAGCACTTCTCTCCCTGGACATCCAGAAGTCGAGTGGGCCTGACGGAATCCCCCCAATTGTGCTGAGGACGTGTGCTCCGGAGTTGGCACCGGTCCTAACGCGTCTTTTCCGGTACTCCTACTCCCAAGGCGTAGTCCCGAATTCATGGAAGACAGCTTTTGTCCACCCGATCCCTAAAAAAGGCGACCGCTCAGACCCGTCCAACTATAGGCCTATCGCGATCACCTCCTTGTTCTCCAAAATAATGGAATCCATTATTAACTGCCAGCTCATCCGGTACCTTGAGGATCACCAGCTGATTAGTGACCGCCAATACGGTTTTCGTCGGTGTCGATCAGCTGGTGATCTTCTGGTCTACCTGACCCATAGATGGGCGGAGGCAGTAGAGTCCAAGGGGGAGGCGTTGGCCGTTAGTCTGGACATTGCGAAGGCCTTTGATCGGGTTTGGCACAAAGCGCTTCTTTCAAAGCTGCCTTCCTATGGGCTTCCCGAGAAATTGTGCAATTGGATCACCAGCTTTCTTGCAGATCGGAGCATCAAGGTCGTTGTAGACGGTGCATGTTCTGACTACAAGCCTATTAACGCTGGTGTTCCACAAGGCTGTGTGCTATCACCAACGCTGTTTCTTCTGCATATCAATGATATGTTGCTAACTGGTAACATTCATTGCTATGCGGATGACAGCACTGGTGATGCTCTATACACCGGCCGGGCCAATATTTCTCGGGAAAACGTCGCCGAGTACCGGAACAAACTTGTGTCTGAAGTCGAGTCTTTGCTGGACAAAGTCTCGGATTGGGGGCGACTAAATCTAGTCCAGTTTAATACTCAGAAGACACAAGTTTGCGCGTTTACCGCTAAAAAGAACCCCTTTGTCGTATCTCCTCAGTTTCAAGGCACTCCCCTTCTTGCCTCAGCCAGTATCGGTATCCTCGGAGTCGACATATCGAGTGACGTGCAGTTTCGTGGTCACTTGGAAGAGAAGGCCAAATTGGCCTCTAAAAAGCTTGGCGTGCTCAGCAGAGCGGGACAGTATTTCATGCCGGCACACCGCCTGCAACTTTACAAGGCGCAGGTTCGGCCTCACATGGAATACTGTTCCCATCTCTGGGCAGGGGCTCCCCAGTGCCAGCTCCTTCCACTTGACCGCATCCAGCGCAGAGCGGCTCGAATCGTCGACGACCGAGCCCTTTCCGATCGGCTCGATTCATTGGCACTGCGAAGAGATGTTGCATCTCTTTGCATTTTCTTTCGCATCTACCATGGGGAGTGCTCTGAGGAATTGTTCGAATTAATCCCAGCCGCCAAATTTCACGAACGCACATCGCGGCAGAACTCCCGATACCATCCACACCATCTGGATGATTGGCGGTCCACCACTGTGCGATTTAGAAGATGTTTTCTTCCTCGCACAACTTCCTTGTGGAATAGTTTACCACCAGGGATTTTTCCGGACCGATACGACTTAGGGACCTTCAAGAAAAGAGCCTACTCCTTTTTAAAAGGCCGGCAACGCATCTGCAATTCCCCTGGTGTTGCGGTTGTTCATGGGCGGCGGTAGTCACTTACCATCAGGTGAGCCGCATGCTCGTTTGCCCCCTCTCCTATAAAAAAAAAATGAAAAATAAAATAGTGTAATTGCCAACCCATCGTCTAAACGTCTCAACTATGACATATGATATCTATATCGTTATGACGCAGTAATTGAAGAGGCCTGTATTCATCACCGAACCTTGAGAGGCTGATCGAATCCGGATTATTCACGTACCTTTTACTGCATGTGCTCACTTCCTAAGCTATTTTATGTTTTAAAAGATTTTATTATTTAAACATATTTACATCAATAAACTGTTAATAATTTAACATACTGATGTCATAAATAATATTGTTTTGTTTCCTTTTCAGAGTACAAGTGTTGCCGATGCAGTGTACTGTAGCGGCTGGTACAATGTGCCTACAAAAATAAAAACGTCTTTAATAATTTTACTCTACCGGTAATTCCTACGTACACGTGATATTTCGTCATGATTAATACATCTTATACGTAGTAGAAACACTCTATTGCTGTAAATTGTCGGTAGCATACAAACAAGGATACAGTCAAAAAGATTGTATAATACCATTACATACTATTACGTGTCAAGTCCTCGTTTCATCTCTTATCGGTTCTCAAGACGAAGTTTTTTCAAACGATTGATATATTAAGTATTATTCACAACCTGAATTGTGCAAAATATTCTATTTAATTCAAAGCAAGTTAGCAAGTTACATCTTATATACGTCCCACTGCTGGGTACAGGCCTCCTCTCATTTCTGAGAGGGTTTTAAGGCAAGAAAATTTCGGCAGCGCTGCCCAATACGTGTTGGCTAACTTCACAAGTCTTCAAAATATTTTTTTCTTATTTCTCAGATATGGAAGATTTCCTCACGATGTTTTCCTTCACCGTCGAGCACATGGTGAATCAGCACTTAAAATTCCTAGAATCAGGCGTTACTTTGCGGAAATTCATTATATAAAAGCTTTTAAAAAATTACTTTGCAAACATCCGCGCTTTTAAATAAAACGACGTGTCTTACCTAGTATGAAGAGCACCTTCCGCCCTCCCTCAATTGCGTGCACTATCCCCGTCACCACTAACCCCAGAACCGCTACTCCCAGCACCACTGCACTAGGCAAGACACACCACTGACGACAATATGACACGAGTTTCGCCTCTACACGAGGCATCCTCAGGTGATATAGACTCTACGATGGCTAACCGCTAAGTGAGTGGTGGGCCAAAACAACTGCCTTTTATACAGACCGTTGACGCGACCGCTCTCTACTTAAGGAGCGAGCGACTGCGTCACGCGATAAAACATGCGACCAATCACCGCCGGACTTACCTAATTCCGCAGTGCAACGTTACTGTTATTACATTTTAATATCTCTAACTGTTCCAGCACACACAGCCGCAGCCCTTCATTACACAAAAGACTATCAACGTCTAAAGATAACAATATGTCGTATTCCTCCTAAATCCATATTGTTATCTTTAGACGTTGATAATCTTTTCACAAATGTCCCATCCCCTGACTGTTTGCGTATACTCGCAGATCTCTTTGATAAACGTCGTCTACATCCCGGGGAAACAAATGATCTTCTTAACTTAACCTCTCTCTGTATGAAACAAAACTATTTCCGGTTTAATAACCGTTTCTATCTACAAAAAGAAGGGTTAGCTATGGGGTCTCGTCTAAGTATGGTATATATATATCCCTTATGGCGGACATTTTCATGGATAATTTCGAAAAACAACATATAGTTGTCAATCAAAATATCTTATATTACTATCGATATGTAGACGACATAATTATTTGCTGGACTGACAAAAGGAGACAACTGGATGTTTTCCTCAATAAAATAAATAGAGTCCATGACAAAATTAAATTTAAAATTGGATTGGATCAAGATTGTTCCCTTAATTTTCTCGACTTAACAATAACAAGAAATGAATCGTCACATGTTTTCCAAATTTATCGAAAGCCAACTCACACCGACACGGTCATCCCCGCGTCATCGTGTCATCCGTGGCAACATAAAGTAGCCGCTTTTTATTGTTACATTAACCGTTTGTTCCCTGTCCCATTAAGTAAAGAAAATTATTTAAAAGAACTTAATATAATTTATCAAATAGCGGTCTCTAACGGTTTTTCAAAAAATCTCATTAACAATTTAATTAAAAAGAAACAAAAGCATGTTGTTGACAACTCTCTGTACGCGGTTCAACTTCAAAGAGTTCGTCGATATGTGAGACCTTAAGTAGAGAGCGGTTGCGGTAGCGGTCTGTATAAAAGGCAGTTGTTAGCCACCGTAGAGTCTATATCACCTGAGGATGCTTCGTGTAGAGGCAAAAAACGTGTCGTATTGTCGTCAGTGGTGTGTCTTGCCTAGTGTAGAGGTGCTGGGAGGTGCTCTTCATATTAGGTAAGACACATCATTTTATTTTAAAGCGCGGATGTTTGCAAAGTAATTTTTTTTAAAAGCTTTTACTTAAAATTCCAATTAATGATTTCATTGGTGCCGGCGGGTATCGAACCCGGGTTTCTCGCGTACTGGAAATATACAGCAAGCGCTTAGTCGCTGAGCTACCACGGCTCATTTAATTTTAACCCTAACTGTAATCACCCAGGTAGTAGGATTCCTTTTCTGGTACTTCTGGGTTTATATTCTTATACGACAATCTTACTTATTTCTCCAGCCAAACAACAGTGCATGCACTTTTGTATTCCAGTCTAAATGATGTGGAGAGCCAGTATAGTTATAGGCTGTGAAGTATCCTATCTTAGCCCTCAGAGGTGACAACGTACATACGTGTTATTATATATATTGTTGATGATATAAAAAACATACGAACAAATTTTTTAATTTATTTTTCTTTTTGTTTTAAAATAACGTTACCCCCCACACTAGGATTTTCTTCTGTATCGTGGAGGCAGTTTACAAACATAAATTGCATGAGGACAAACATCCAGACCCGGAACAATAATTTGTAGGCCATACAAATACTAGTTCCGTGCGGGATTCCAACCCGCGGCCCCCAGCGCAACAACTGATTACGTCACTGCGCCTCGGAGCCGTCATGAGTGTAGATGAAGGTAGATTGATAATCTCCCACTCAGCAGGTGACCAAGAGAGATCAGTCTGTAATTCTACGAGTCTCACTGTCGTAACAATGCCCGTTGGGTTATTCTACTAGTGTAGGCAAGGAAGGTCGCGTGGCTGAGAGGCTGCACTGTGTTACATTGAGATGGGTAGTGTTGCTGTTGGTTTTTTTTTTATAGGATCGGGTGACAAACGAGCACACAGTCCACCTGATGGTAAGTGGTCACTGTGACCCATAGACATCTACATCTATCCTCAATAAAGACTCAAGATGCAGATGCGTTGTCACCCGTGAGGACTAAGATGGAATGCCTCTTTGCCAGTAAAAAGGGTCTCCGGTTCTCTACACTCACCATACGAAACACAGCAGCGTTAAGCTGCTATTTTACGCTGGTTTTCTGTGAGAGAGTGGTCCCTCCCCGGTCGAGCCGACCCATTCGTGCTACAACCATAATATAGCTGCAGCATGGCTCTACCACGTAAAAATACTTTGTTGGTTGGTATTTTTACGTGTTGGTTGGTTTGCATACTTTGGTGTTATCACGTAATTGGGTCCTGATAGTAAGCAGGGTTTGTTACCGAGTAGTGTTCTTTTATTTAACCAATTTTAAAAATAATTTCTAACATCAGAAGTGGATAGTTTACAATATATAGTTGTAGCCTTCTTCTAAAGATGTTTGCTGTTATCATGGGCTGTAGAAGTAATCAATGACCATGTTATTCGTAGCTCATAAACAATAGCTATATAGCATAATACGCAATATACTACATAATGACATTATTAGATGTCAAGGAAGTGAGTGAATATGCCTGCAGGTGGACTGTTTGTTCTTTCGTTTTATTTTTAAAGTATAAGGGTGACAAACGAGTAACACATTGCACCTGATAGTAAGTAGAAGCTGTGGCCCATAGACAACTACATTTATTCTCGAATGCGTTGTCACTCTTGAGGACTAAGATGGAATGCCTCGTTTCCAGTAAAAACGTCTTAGTTTCTCTACACACCATACGAAACACAACAGCAGTAAACTGCTATTCTGCGAGAGAGTTGGCCGTTCGTGCTACAACCATAATAGTTAGTGGCTCTATCACGTAAAAAATTGTCGCTTAGTTTTATTAAAAAAAGTCTATAGATAATAAACGATGTTTGAGATATTATTTTATGTTTCAGTGCTCAAAAGGCGGTTTATGTAACAACGTACGGATTTTCGATCGTTTGCTTGCCAAGCTATGCGACGGTAATTTGTTTAAAAATAAATTTCGTTATGATTAGTTGGTAAATAGTCCACAGTACATGACACATACACAGTATTTTGGATCAGATCTGGCTAGAAAAGGGCTTTCCACATCGCAGGAGGTTTGCTTTAATCGTCACACTTGGTTTTTCATTTAAGCCTATGAAAGTCCACTACTTAGTATAAGGGGATTTTGCCTCGAGAAGCGAGTTGGCAACAATAGCTTTTTAACCGACTTAAAAAGAAGGAGATTCTTAATTAAAGTGTATGTTTTTTATGTACGTTACCTGATATATTCGCAGATTGTGAACCAATTTTGATGTTTCTTTGTTTTTTAAATAGGTTATACTTCAAGGGTGTTTCCATATAAATTTGGAGAATAAGTTCCATCTCTTAGGATAGCAAATAGATAACTTTTTTTTATTAATTTGAAGTCGGTTTTCACTTTTTGCTAAAAGGTAAAATTATTATTATTGTTGATCTGTTATTAAAGATATGCTGTTACCCGTCTCCTGTTTCAGTGTCCCGCTGTTGCCGTTTACGACACGGTTGATCTTTAAACCTCTCCCTTACTAACGTAACTGAACTCACAACCCGAATTTTTTTTGTAGGAGAGGGGGTAAACGAGCATGTGGCTCTCCTGATGGTAAGTGACTACCGTCGCCCAAGAACAACTGCAACACCAGGGTAACCAGGGGAATTGCAGATGCATTGCCGGCCTTTTAAAAAGGAGTAGGCGCTTTTCTTGAAGGTCTCTACCACGTATAGATCGCACGTATATTCTATAAGTGCGATTTATCTACGGATTCATTACCACTTTCCTAATCAAGCACTGGCTCATAATAATAAGAAAGCATTTTTAAAACATTGTCTTCCTTTTCAGATTCTCAAAACGTCGTGGTCGTATTTGATGTTGCTTGTAAACGTATTCAAGGAATAGACACGCGAAGAGTACTTAACACGCTTGTAATAAACATTTTTGTAGAAAGAATTATGCAGTCACTGCATCACTTAACGAAAATAGCTGTTGCACCTTTAGCAAATAAGAACATAATTTTGAAACTATAATATAGAGTCATTCTTTCTAACGTTGTTATTATTTGTATTGTATTTGTTTTCACGACCCATTTATTTATTTATTTAATCTTTTTTACATCTACATTATAATAAGGGAATAAAGAGCGGACTTAATGTCTTGTGGCATTCTCTACCGGTCAACCCTTGATGATTTGAGAAGCTGTGGTAGGTGCAACAACCACTCCATAAATTAATTAAGATTATATATTACAACAAAAAGCAAATAAATACAATATTTTTAAAATAACAAACTTAATATCTACTTTGTAATAAAAAAAGAATGAATAGTAAATATATAAACGGATACTTATATATATACAAAATCTTTAAATAAATATAAAATAATATAACACAAAAAATAACATGATGCATATTAAAATACGTATTATACCGTTCTGTTTCTGTTACCATCCAACTCCGAACGAGAGAAGTCGTTTAAACTATAAATAGTGGACGATAACAGATAAGTGGACATAGTGCAATATGATAATATAGTAGATGACCAGTCCATGCGAGTTAGTGAACTTTGTCAAACTCTTTTTATATGTGTGGTGAAAACGAAGTGTTTATACCGTAATTTATCGGAAACCGTAAGATATTCTTACATTTCTCATAGCTGCCCATGCAACACACATGAGACATAATGGGGTACTGGATGGATAGACTCCATCTTGCCATTTCTTCCCACCGTAAAAAAATAATAATGGCTGATTCTTCTTTCATTATTTTCTATTATTGTAACGTTTTGTAAAATTTATAATAAAGAAGTAAATGTAAGTTTTCGTCTAATAATGAAAATTGGTGATATTTTTACATACATGTACTTACATAAAGTTATTTAAAAGTTAAAGTTACAGCCTATATACACGTCCCACTGCTGGGCACAGGCCTCCTCTCATTTCTGAGAGGGTTTTAGGGCAAGGAAAGGTCCGCCTGCTACCCCAATGCGTGTTGGCGAACTTCACATGTCTTCGAAATATATTTTTTTTCTTATTTGTCAGACATGCAGGTTTCCTCAAGATGTTTCCCTTCACCGCCGAGCACGTGGTAAAGCAGTACTTAAAATTGCAAATAACTATTTCATTGGTCCCGGCGGGGATCGAACTCGGGTTTCGCGTACTGTGAAACTAACAGCGAGTGAGCTACCACGGTTCAGATGGTTAGCAGGGCGATGTACTTACATAATATTATTTAATGTGACAGTAGCCTAATGGCTGGATGCGGAAAGCGAGCTAAAGGTTGTGGGTTCGAATCTACTATTCGGTTGTCCCTGTATTACTGTATAATTTATGTGTTTTTTAATTAATAAGGATGACAAACTTACTTACCATCACGTGAACTATGTGTCCACGTGATGGTAAGTGGATGCTACGGCCCATACACTTCTACATATTTATCCCCGATTAAGTATAAAAATGTAGATGCATTATCATCCCTGAGGACTAAGAGAAAATGCCTCGTTTCCAGTAAAAAAGTTAACAAAAAAAAATAGTAAGAAGGTTAATAATTAAGAAGTCATTAACAAAGTTATTATCATCCATACATTCTTTAATACTACAATAACCCTTTTTATGCAATTACGAGCTCTTATACGCTACAGTAGCCTAATTGCCTGCTTGCGGATCGACTCAAAAGGCACAAGCATGTTAAGCTTACCAGGAGTGATGAAATGGAATATTAAATATTAGCAATGTTGATAGCGTTACAAGTATTTTAAATAATAATAATAAAGAGTTTTATTTGTAAATACAAATTTTATTTGATAAAGTTTTTGAAAACTTGCAGGAAGTCAAATTTTGTATATTTTATAAATTCTAACCAGTATTAGTGGAAATTGTGATTGGTTATGATTTGACGTTTGGTTACGTTTCTTGTGTAAACGTAATAAGTCGATGTGTTTTCGTATATATATTTAATTTTGGATTACATTGTTCACAATATCTAAAAAAAAATGACCCAGTTGCAGAGTGCTTCCCACTTACAAACGTTTACCACCAGAGTATCACAACCGATCAAAACTTCCGTAGAAAATAAATGCAGACGGTTGTAAGTTTTTAAATATTCTATTTTCGAAATGGGCTTCATCTACCCAAAGAGAAAAAATTTACTCTTCCATTTGGACGGTTATAAAGTATGATTTTTTCGGAAAATTTACTTGTAATATATGGTATTGTAAGAAATTATCCCACTTCAGATGTAAGAAACTATTCATAAAATTATTTAAATAAAAGAATGTTAGTCGTATTAGAAATTACTCTGGAGGTTTTTTTCTTTAAGCAGGGCTTTCTCCTCAAAGTCCTCCATGAAAATATCGGCGACATTGGGAGATTTTCTCCTCAAAGTCCTCCATGAAAATATCGGCGTGTTGCAATGGGCTCAACGATATCTCTCTGACCATATGTCAGAGGTATCACAGACAAGATTGGCTACATCTTTAAAGACCGGCAACGCATCTGCGACTCCCTCTCTGGTGTTGCAGCTGTTCATGGGCAGCGGTAGTCACTTACCATCAGGTTAGCCGCATGCTCGTTTGCCCCCTCTCCTTAAAAAAATATGTTGGTAAATCCAATTGGGCATACCTTAAGCGCATTAAAAAAATTACGTATAACATGATTATACGGATTTTTTAAAGTAGTTTAAATACATTTCGACAGCACTATCGGCTTCAACACCCTCAAAAACCATGAAAATGACACCCAAGATGAAAAAATTGGTACCTACTTCAGCCGAAATCTTGGATTTACATTTCAACAGCACTATCGGCTTCAACAGCCTCGAAACCCATGAAAATGACACCAATGATGAAAAAATTGGTACCCATTGCAGCCGCCACCTTGGATTTACATTTCGACAACCCTATCGGCTTCAACTCTCTCGAAAACCATGAAAATGACACCCATGATGAAAAAATTGATACCTATTGCAGTCGCCATATTGGATTTACATTTCGACGGCACTATCGGCTTCAACACCCTCGAAAACCATGAAAATGATAACCAAGATGAAAAAAATTTTATCTATTGCAGCCGCCATCCTGGATTTACAGTTCGACAGCACTATCGGCTTCAACACCCGCGAAAACCATGAAAATGACACCCATGATGAAAAAATTGATACCTATTGCAGTCGCCATATTGGATTTACATTTCGACGGCACTATCGGCTTCAACACCCTCGAAAACCATGAAAATGATACCCAAGATAAAAAAATTGTATCTATTGCAGCCGCCATCTTGGATTTACATTTCGACAGCACTATCAGCTTTAACACCCGCGAAAACCATGAAAATGACACCCATGATGAAAAAATTGATATCTATTGCAGTCGCCATATTGGATTTACATTTCGACGGCACTATCGGCTTTAACACCCGCGAAAACCACGAAAATGACTCCCATGATGAAAAACTTGAAATCTATTGCAGCCGCCATCTTGGATTTACATTTTCACAACACAATCGGCTTCAACACCCTCGAAAACCATGAAAATGACACCCATGATGAAAAAATTGATACGCATTGCAGCCGCCACCTTGGATATACATTTCGACAGCACTATCGGCTTCAACACCCTCGAAAACCATGAAAATGACACCCAAGATGAAAAAATTGGTACCTACTTCAGCTGCCATCTTGGATTTACATTTCGACAGCACTATCGGCTTCAACACCCGCAAAAACCATGAAAATGACTCCCAAGATGAAAAACTTGAAAGCTATTGCAGCCGCCATCTTGGATTTATATTTCCACAGCACTATCGGCCTCAACACTCTCGAAAACCATGAAAATTACACGTATGATGAATAAATTGATATCTATTGCAGCCGCCATCTTGGATATACATTTCGACAGCACTATCGGCTTCAACACCCTCGAAAACCATGAAAATGACACCCAAGATGAAAAAATTGGTACCTAATTCAGCCGCCATCTTGGATTTACATTTCGACAATACTATCGGATTCAACACCCTCGATAACCATGAAAATGACACCCAAGATGAAAAACTTGATATCTATTGCAGCCGCCACCTTGGATTTACATTTCGACAGCACTATCTTATTCAACACCCTCGAAAACCATGAAAATGACACCCACGATGAAAAACATTGATATCTGTTGCAGCCGCCATCTTGGATTTACATTTCGACAGCACTATCGGCTTCAACACCCTCGAAACCCATGAAAATGACACCCATGATGAAAAAATTGATACCCATTGCAGCCGCCACCTTGGATTTACATTTCGACAGCACTATCGGCTTCAACACCCGCGAAAACCACGAAAATGACTCCCATGATGAAAAACTTGAAATCTATTGCAGCCGCCATCTTGGATTTACATTTTCACAACACAATCGGCTTCAACACCCTCGAAAACTATGAAAATGACACGTATGATGAAAAAATTGATATCTATTGCATTCGCCATCTTGGATATACATTTCGACAGTACTATCGGCTTCAACACACTCGAAAACCATGAAAATGACACCCAAGATGAAAAAATTGGTACCTACTTCAGCCGCCATCTTGGATTTACATTTCAACAATACTATCGTATTTAACACCCTCGAAAACCATGAAAATGACACCTAAGATGAAAAACTTGATATCTATTGCAGCCGCCACCTTGGATTTACATTTCGACAGCACTATCTGATTCAACACCCTCGAAAACCATGAAAATGACACCCATAATGAAAAACTTGATATCTATTGCAGCCGCCACCTTGGATTTACATTTCGACAGCACTATCTGATTCAACACCCTCGAAAACCATACTTACTTTTAGTACGTACTACTATTATTTATTCCGTGCTTTTAAAATATTGTAATTAAAAAATCTCTTAATATTATT